CTGTGCATTAATTTTGTATCCTGACCTTTACCATATTCATTGATTAGCTCTAGTAGTTTTCTGGTGGCGTTTTTAGGATTTTCTATGTATAATATCATGTCATCTACAAACAATGACAGTTTTACTTCTTCTTTTCCAATTTGTATTCCTTTTATTTCTTTTTCTTCTCTAATTGCTGTGGCTAGGACTTCCAAAACTATACTGAATAATAGTGGTGAGAGTGGACATCCTTGTCTTTTTCCTGATCTTAGAGGAAATGCTAGAGGAAATGCTTTCATTTTTAACCATTGAGAATGATGTTTGCTGTGGGTTTGTCATATATGCCCTTTTTATGTTGAGGTAGGTTCCCTCTATGCCCACTTTCTGGTGAGTTTTTATAATAAATGGGTGTTGAATTTTGTCAAAAGCTTTTTCTGCATCTATTGAGATGATCATATGGTTTTTCTTCTTCAATTTGTTAATATGGTGTATCACATTGATTGTGTATATTGAAGAATCTTTGCATCTCTGGGATAAATCCCACTTGATCATGGTGTATGATCCTTTTAATGCGTTGTTGGATTCTGTTTGCTAGTATTTTATTGAGGATTTTTGCATCTATATTCATGAGTGATATTGGTCTGTAATTTTCTCTTTTTGTAGTATCTGTGTCTGGTTTCGGTATCAGGGTGATGGTGGTCTCATAGAATGAGTTTGGGAGTGTTCCTTCCTCTGCAATTTTTTAGAAGAGTTTGAGAAGGATGGGTGTTAGCTCTTCTCTAAATGTTTGATAGAATTCACCTGTGAAGCCATCTGGGCCTGGACTTTTGTGTGTTGGAAGATTTTTAATCACAGTTTCAATTTCATTACTTGTGATTGGCCTGTTCATATTTTCTATTTCTTCCTGGTTCAGTCTTGGAAGGTTATACCTTTCTAAGAATTTGTCCATTTCTTCCAGGCTGTCCACTTTATTGGCATAGAGTTCCTTGTGGTAGTCTCTTAGGATGCTTTGTATTTCTGCGGTGTCTGTTGTAACTTGTCCTTTTTCATTTCTAATTTTAATGATTTGAGTCTTCTCCCTTTTTTTCTTGATGAGTCTGGCTAATGGTTTATCAAGTTTGTTTATCTTCTCAAAGAACCAGCTTTTAGTTTTATTGATCTTTCCTATTGTTTTGTTTCTATTTCATTTATTTCTGCTCTGATTTTATGATTTCTTTCCTTCTACTAACTTTGGGGTTATTTTGTTCTTCTTTCTTTAGTTCCTTTAGGTATAAGGTTAGATTGTTTATTTGAGATGTTTGTTGTTTGTTGAGGTAGGATTGTATTGCTATAAACTTCCCTCTTAGAATTGCTTTTGCTGCATCCCATAGGTTTTGAATCGTCATGTTTTCATTGTCATTTGTCTCTAGGTATTTTTTGATTTCCTCTTTGATTTCTTCAGTGATCTCTTGGTTATTTCGTAAAATATTGTTTAGCCTCCATGTGTTTGTGTTTTTTACTTTTTTTCCCTGTAATTGATTTCTAATCTCATAGCATTATGGTCAGAAAAGATACTTAATATGATTTCAATTTTCTTAAATTTACTGAGGCTTGATTTGTGACCCAAGATGTGATCTATCTTGGAGAATGTTCTGTGCGCATTTGAAAAGAAAGTGTAATCTGCTGTTTTTGGATGGAATGTCCTATAGATATCAATTAAATCTATGTGGTCTATTGTGTCATTTAAAGCTTGGTTTTCCTTATTAATTTTCTGTTTGGATGATCTGTCCATTGGTGTAAGTGAGGTGTTAAAGTCCCCCACTATAATTGTGTTACTGTCGATTTCTTCTTTTATAGCTGTTAGCAGTTGCCTTATGTATTGAGGTGCTCCTATGTTGGGTGCATATATATTTATAATTGTTTTATCTTCTTCTTGGATTGATGTCTTGATCATTATGTAGTGTCCTTCCTTGTCTCTTGTAACATTCTTTATTTTAAAGTCTATTTTATCTGATATGAGTATTGCTACTCCAGCTTTCTTTTGATTTCCATTTGCATGGAATATCTTTTTCCATCCCCTCACTTTCAGTCTGTATGTGTCCCTAGGTCTGAAGTGGGTCTCTTGTAGACAGCATATATATGGGTCTTGTTTTTGTATCCATTCAGCAAGCCTGTGTCTTTTGGTTGGAGGATTTAATCCATTCACGTTTAAGGTAATTATCAATATGTATGTTCCTATTACCACTTTCCTAATTGTTTTGGGTTTGTTTTTGTAGGCCCTTTTCTTCTCTTGTGTTTCCCACTTAGAGAAGTTCCTTTAGCATTTGTTGTAGAGCTGGTTTGGTGGTGCTGAATTCTCTTAGCTTTTGGTTGTCTGTAAAGCTTTTGATTTCTCCATCGAATCTGAATGAGATACTTGCTGGGTAGAGTGATCTTGGTTGTAGGTTCTTCCCTTTCATCATTTTAAATATGTCATGCCACTCCTTTCTGGCTTGTAGAGTTTCTGCTGAGAAATCAGCTCTTAACCTTATGGGAGTTCCCTTGTATATTATTTGTCATTTTTCCCTTGCTGCTTTCAATAATTTTTCTGTGTCTTTAATTTTTGCCAGTTTGATTACTATGTCTCAGTGTGTTTCCTTGGGTTTATCCTTTATGGGACTCTTTGCGCTTCCTGGACTTGGGTGGCTATTTCCTTTCCCATGTTAGGGAAGTTTTCGACTATAATCTCTTCAAATATTTTCTCAGGTTCTTTCTCTCTCTCTTCTCATTCTGAGACCCCTATAATGCGAGTGTTGTTGTGTTTAATGTTGTCCCAGAGGTCTCTTAGGCTGTCTTTATTTCTTTTTTCTTTATTCTGTTCCGCAGAGGTGAATTCCTCCTTTCTGTCTTCCAGGTCACTTATCTGTTCTTCTACCTCAGTTATTCTGCTATTGATTCCTTCTAGTGTAGTTTTCATTTCAGTTATTGTATTGTTCATCTATGTTTGTTTGTTCTTTAATTCTTCTAGGTCTTTTTTAAACATTTCTAACATCTTCTTGATCTTTGCCTCCATTCTTTTTGGAGGTCCTGGATCATCTTCACTATCATTATTCTGAATTCTTTTTCTGGAAGGTTACCTATCTCCACTTCATTTAGTTGTTTTTCTGGGGTTTTATCTTGTTCCTTCATCTGGTACATAACCCTCTGCCTTTTCATCTTGTCTATCTTTCTGAATGTGGTTTTTGTTCCACAGGCTGTAGGATTGTAGTTCTTCTTGCTTCTGCTGTCTGCCTTCTGGTGGATTAGGTTATCTAAGAGTCTTGTGCAACTTTCCTGATGGGAGCGACTGGTGGTGGGTAGAACTGGCTGTTGCTCTGGTGGCAGAGCTCAGTAAAACTTTAATCCACTTGTCTGCTGATGGGTGGGGCTGGGTTCCCTCGCTGTTGGTTGTTTGGCCTGAGGTGACCCAACCCTGGAGCCTACCTGGGCTCTTTGGTGGGGCTAATGTCGGACTCTGGGAGGGCTCACACCAAGGAGTACTTCCCAGAACTTCTGCTGCCAGTGTCCTTGTCCACATGGTGAGACACAGCCACCCTCTGCCTCTGCAGGAGACCCTCCAACACTAGCAAATAGGTCTAGTTCAGTCTCCTATGGGGGTCACTGCTCCCTCCCCTGGGACCCGATATGCACACTACTTTGTGTGTGCCCTCCAAGAGTGGAGTCTCTGTTTCTCCAGTCCTGTCAAAATCCTACAGTCAAATCTCGCCTTCAAAGTCTGATCCTCTGGGAAATCCTTCTCCTGTTGCCAGACCCCCAGGTTAGAAGCCTGACGTGGGGCTCAGAACCTTCACTCCAGTGGGTGGACTTCTGTGGTATAAGTGTTCTCCAGTTTGTGAGTCAACCCCCCAGCAGTTATGGGATTTGATTTTATTGTGATTGTGCCCCTCCTTCTGTCTCATTGTGGCTTCTCCCTTCTCTTTGGATGTGGGGTATCTTTTTTGGTGAGTTCCAGTGTCTTCCTGTTGATGATTGTTCAGCAATTAGTTGTGATTCCAGTGCTCTCGCAAGAGGGAGTGAGAGCACGTCCTTTTACTCCATCGTCTTGAACCAATCTCCTTCCTACCATTTCTCATTCAACATTGGATAAGGCAAAAGGGAAAATGGAATGTAGACATAAAATAGAGGTTAAACAAGATGACAGAGGGGCATATGACTGGGAAGTGTGGGTAGATAGACTGAAACATTAAGAAAAGACAAAGAGAGATGGACAAAGATGATGGATGGATAGGGTGCAAAGATGAATTCTTGAGTTTTCAACTGGGGCTAATAAAACCTGGCTTGATTTTATGGAATTATATAAGATACTGCCAAGTGGAGGTGCTTTCTTTAGAAAAGTACAGAATTCTCTAGAAATACAATAATACATATGTAATATTTATTACATGTAATAAAATGTGGACAGCAGTGACAGTGAACTAAGTCTGTACTAAGTCAACAACCTCTGAGTCATTGATGACACATCTGCCCTGTTATCTGTGGTCCACAGTAGGATATTTGGTAAAGAAGTGTAGAACATTAGAAATAACATTAACGGGCTTCCCTGGTGGCGCAGTGGTTGAGAGTCCGCCTGCCGATGCAGGGGGCACGGGTTCGTGCCCCGGTCCGGGAGGGTCCCATGTGCTGCGGAGCAGCTGGGCCAGTGGACCAGTGGACCATGGCCACTGAGCCTGCGCGTCTGGAGCCTGTGCTCCGCAACGGGAGAGGCCGCAGCGGTGAGAGGTCCGCGTATCGCAAATAAATAAATAAAGATAGAGAACGGACTTGAGGATATGGGGAGGGGGAAGGGTGAGATGTGACAAAGCGAGAGAGAGGCATGGACATATATACACTACCAAACGTAAGGTAGATAGCTAGTGGGAAGCAGCCGCATAGCACAGGGAGATCAGCTCGGTGCTTTGTGACCACTTGGAGGGGTGGGATAGGGAGGGTGGGAGGGAGGGAGACGCAAGAGGGAAGAGATATGGGAACATATGTACATGTATAACTGATTTCCTTTGTTATAAAGCAGAAACTAACACACCATTGTAAAGCAATTATACCCCAATAAAGATGTTAAAAAAAAAAATCCCTTTAACCTCAAAAAAAAAAAAAAAAGAAATAACATTAACCATGTACCAACAGCTTAGTGCTGTCAAGAACATGCTTGTACTGCGGTCAGTACTCCTCACGTTCACCTGGACAGAGAGAATGAGAAAAAGCTTGTAGAGATGAAGAGGTGGTAAATGATAGTTTTCCCTTCCTTCAGCTGACTTCCCCAGCAGCCTCCTCAGCGCCCCCTTCACCTCCTTGTTCCTCAGAGTGTAAATGAGAGGGTTCACCATGGGTGTGACCACAGAGTAGAAGAGGGAAATGAATTTGTCCTGGTTGCTGGTCTTAGCTGGAAGCAGATACCCATAGATAGCTGAGCCATAAAAGAGGAGTACCACCATAAAAGAGCCATAAAAGAGGAGTACCACCACCAGATAAGAGAGGCACGTGTTAAAGGTCTTTCTCTGTCCCTTGGCCGAGTGGATCTTCAGCACTGCCTGAGCTATGTAGCAGTAGGAGATCAGGATGACGCTTAATGGGACAGTGGTGAAGAAGGTGCAGACACCATTGAGACTTGTGTCTCCACAGGCTAGTTTGATCATGGCGGGCACCTCACACAGGAAGCTGTCCACCCTCTGGTGCCCTCACAAAGGGAGCTGCAGAGTGAAGGTTGACTGGACCACAGAGTTGCCCAAGCCACCCAAACAGGCAATGGCAGCCAGCAGCCAGCAGAGCCAGGGGTTCATGATGGTGGTGTAGTGCAGGGGCCAGCACACCATGACATAGTAGTCAAATGCCATCACCAACAGCAGGATGCACTCAGTAGCCCCTAGCCAGAGGAAAACATTGAGTTGGGTCACACAGCCACCATAGCTGATGGTCTTGTCTGATCCCCACAAGATGATCAGCACTTGGGGGACTGAGCTAGTAGTAAAAGCAAGATCCAGGGAGGAGAAGTTGCTGAGGAAGAAGTACATGGGTGTGTGGAGCCGGGCATCCAGGCTGGAAAGCAGGATCATGGTTGAGTTCCCAACAAGGGTCAGCAAGTAGGAGAAGAGGATGACTACAAAAAAGATTATCTCCAGCTGGGGATGGTCAGATACACCCATCAGAATAAAGCTCTCCAAGGAGCTGCTGTTGGCCCTTTCCATCTCTGGTTGCCTTCAGTCACTTGAGGAATCTGTCCAGGGACAACCAGGAGTAAAGCAAGTGAAGAAGCTACTGGATTAGGTGGATCTGCATCAGTGCAGGTCTGATGTCACCGACCTTTGTAGTTAAGTACCAATTTAAATTTTATGATTGCAAGGTTTCATTGCAATCCCCAAACACTGTCAGTCCCACAATGAATGGAAACTTTATTCCATCTGAATATCAACATGAGCTATCACAAAATGAAGGAAGTGCTTCATGAAGAACAAAAAGATCAGTGTCTTCAGTTCAACACAGTGATGACCCAAGAAATTCATCTTTGCACCCTGTCCATCCATCATCTTTGTCCATGATGAAGGAGCGTGAACTCCTTCAGTTCAAAAGGGTAGAGGGAGTTGACCATTGGAACTAAATGTGGAAATTCTCAAAAAATACTAATTTCCCCAGCCAAGATTTTGGTATACTCAGGGGAGGGGTGAGCAGACCTGCTGTATTTGGAAGAATTCCCCAAATGTTTCTGATAAATTTCTTCCCTTCTCTTCTATATCCCTCCCCTCCCAAGTGAAAACTCCTGGTCCTGAAAGATGAAGTTTGAGGGAGAAGGTGATGAGTCTATACAATCATGAAAAGAATGGGAAGCATGAATATAGACATATTCACCAAATACAGAAGATACAAACACGTGAGTTAAAAAGAGGTAAATGTAGAACAGAACAAAACTTCATGTAAGCTCAAGTACATGTAGGTGGAACAGGCTAAAGATAGAAACAGGGTCTACCCCAAAAGGAGTTAAATCAGTTACAGGATACCCATAATTAGAAAAGGAAAATAGAAGATTTCAGAGGGGATCCCCGAAAGTTTGAGGTATATGACCACTATGCCCACCTCTAAACCATGGAGTAATTCTTAACATCTCATAAACAAAAATTACCTCTTGTTAATAATGGGCCAATTACCATCTCCCTTCATGGGGCAAGACCTAGGCTTTACTGAAGATCACAAACCAAAGCCCATCCCCCTTCTTTGGCTAATAAATAAAAGGATCTGGGCTTCCCTGGTGGCGCAGTGGTTGAGAATCTGCCTGCTAATGCACGGGACGCGGCTTCAAGCCCTGGTCTGGGAAGATCCCACATGCCACGGAGCAACTAGGCCCGTGAGCCACAACTACTGAGCCTGTGCGTCTGGAGTCTGTGCTCCGCAGCAAGAGAGGCCGCAATAGTGAGAGGCCCGCGCATCGCGATGAAGAGTGGCCCCCGCTTGCCACAACTAGAGAAAGCCCTCTCACAGAAACGAAGACCCAACACAGCTCAAAATCAATTAATTAATTAATTAATTAATTATTTTAAAAAAGAAATTCTGACTTCCTAACTGCAAGGAAGTCAGAATTTAAAAATAAATAAATAAATAAATAAAAGCATCTGAGAAGAAAACAAAAATAGTCTTGGGTCAGCTGTCCTCATCTGGAAGCTGAAGACTGGGAGTAAATGCTCTGCTCTTCCTCTGGATCATGACATGTCCCACAGGAACCCTGGCTGCCACGCCCAAATAGCAGGCTTGACGGGAGTTTCTACTCAAGGGAAGTGTGCATGTGTGCTTATCTGGTTCTGGTGCTCTAGACAGGGACCACTTGGCTACACCTCTTGGCTGAAGACCCTGAGAACTGTCATTTTCATCAATAAGCAGCAAATATACTGGAGATCCTAATGCTATATCCCACCCAGATGTAAGGCAGGAAATCTTTTCTAATTGTCTGTTTCTTTAGGTCAACAAGGTAGTCCTTCTTTTGAGTCAGGGATGATAAAGATTTCAGAGCACTTTTCTACCCTCCTTCATACCTCTATCGAATACCTTGAGAAGAGGTGACTACTTAGGGCTTCCCTGGTGGCACAGTGGTTAAGAATCCACCTGCCAATGCTGAGAACACGGGTTCGAGCCCTGGTCTGGGGAGACCCCACATGCCGCAGAGCAACTAAGGCCATGCACCACAACTACTGAACCTGCACTCTAGAGCCCGTGAGCCACAGCTAGTGAAGCCTGCGCGCCTGGAGCCCGTGCTCCGCAACAAGAGAAGCCACCGCAATGAGAAGCCCGCGCCACAATGGAAGAGTAGCCCCCGCTCGCCACAACTAGACAAAGCCCCAGTGCAGCCAAAAATAAATAAATTAATTAAAAAAGAAGAAGCGGTGACTGCTTATTCTTTTCATTTAGGACTTAAGGGAGCTGAGGAACTGAGGTACCAATCTGGAAGCTCATATTTCTGTTATTCCTGGTATCCATCTCACTACCTCCTCCTAGAAGTGCCTGTCCTCTTGTACCCCTAGGGGAAAGAAACACAGACAGATATGGCCCATCTTCTTCCATAAGTTGTCTGGTCTCTGGGTGGCTGATGCTTTGTGTCTGCTCAGCTGGGGACTCTTTCGGTCCCCACTCTATGCATACCAGTCAGCACAGAAAAAGGAAAGTGTATATAGTGGGAGACTGTTGACCCCAGGCACTCAGAAACTCCCAAGCAAACATGAATATAACTTCAAGTTTGAATTCAGCAACTTGACTGCTCTTCAGGATGTTTTCCACCCTTAAAAGGTCTCTCCACTTGGTTCCTAGCTCTCTTGTAATCTGGAATGTTAAATTGATCCGGCACTATTTGCATTTTAAGAGGAGCCTAGAAAGGACAATACTGAACTCAGAGGATGCGCCATGTATGGTGCAATTTAGGAGCACCCAGATGGAGTTTGTTTGGCTACAGAAAGATTTTTAGGAATCACTCATGTATACATAGATGGTTCCCATCTTGGCCTGTCCGTAAATTTGTTTCGAACTTTCAGGATATTGAGAAGAGCAGCCAAGACCTGCTTCTTAAAGATAATCCTGGGTGTGGTAATTACCCACCTTCGCCCAGATTTCTGCCCATTCCTCCCCTAAATTTTACCACAATTCTCAATTGGCCACTCGTGGATTAGCCACAGCAAATACGGAATTTGGAGTTGGCTTTCTCCTATCATGGAAACTGCTCCTGAGCTGTCAGCACTCCCCATATGTGGGTGCAAGTTCTCAGAATTCAAGTCTTGCTTTAATATTAGCCTGAGTAATAAAAGGAAAGGGAATCATACAAAATAAAAACAAATAAATAAAACTAATCCTGAATTCCTGACCCTGGCAGGGAAGTTTTTATATATGTTTTATTTTAAAATATTTCATTTATGTGGGAGACAGTTGACAGTGATATTCCTGAGAGCTCAGTTTGTGCCTATCTTGCATCTAAGGTCTAAGTTAACCTTTTCATGATGACTTGGTCAGAACTGGAGATAAGGTTTTCAGTGTAAACATTGTGGCAGTATGGCAGGCAAGAGCCACATAACAGAACAAAATTTGCCTAGAAGGTTGAAGTCTAAGGTGGATTTCAGGTATTTGATGGGGTGAACAGGAGTTCTACCCCCGAATCTTAGAATTCAAGAATTAGAGATGTGGGAATCGGGAAGACGGTGCAAGAGTAAGACGTGGAGATCACCTTCCTCCCCACAGATACACCAGAAATACATCTACATGTGGAACAACTCCTACAGAACACCTACTGAACGCTGGCAGAAGACCTCAGACCTCCCAAAAGGCAAGAAACTCCCCACGTACCTGGGTAGGGCAAAAGAAAAAAGAACAAACAGAGACAAAAGAATAGGGACGGGACCTGCACCAGTGGAAGGGAGCTGTGAAGGAGGAAAGGGTTCCACACACTAGGAAGCCCCTTCGCAGGCGGAGACTGCGGGGGGCGGAGGGGGGAAGCATCGGAGCCGCGGAGGAGAGCACAGCAACAGAGGTGCGGAGGGCAAAACGGGGAGATTCCCGCACAGAGGATCGGTGCTGACCGGCGCTCAGCAGCCCGAGAGGCTTGTTTGCTCACCCACCGGGGTGGGCGGGGCTGGGAGCTGAGGCTCAGGCTTCGGTCAGAGCGCAGGGAGAGGACTGGCGGCGTGAACACAGCCTGAAGGGGTTAGTGCCCCACGGCTAGCCGGAAGGGAGTCCGGGAAAAGGTCTGGACCTGCAGAAGAGGCAAGAGACTTTTTCTTCCCTCTTTGTTTCCTGGTACGCGAGAAGAGGGTATTAAGAGTGCTGCTTAAAGGAGCTCCAGAGACGGGTGCGAGCCGCGGCTAAGAGCGCGGACCCCAGAGACGGGCATGAGACGCTGAGGCTGCTGCTGCCGCCACCAAGAAGCCTGTGTGCGAGCACAGGTCATTCTCCACACCTCCCTTCCGGGGAGCCTGTGCAGCCCGCCACTGCCAGGGTCCCGGGATCCAGGGACAATTTCCCCGGGAGAACGGGAGAACACACGGCGAGCCTTGGGCTGGTGCAACATTACACCAGCCTCTGCCGCCACAGGCTCGTCCCGCATCCGCATCCCTCCCTCCCACCCCGGCCTGAGTGAGCCAGAGTCCCAGAGTCAGCTGCTCCTTTAACCTCGTCCTGTCTGAGCGAAGAACAGACACCCTCCAGAGACCTACACGCAGAGGCGGGGCCAAATCCAAAGCTGAGCCCTGGGAGCTGTGCAAACAAAGAAGAGAAAGGGAAATCTCTCCCAGCAGCCTCAGGAGCAGTGGATTAAATCTCCACAATCACCTTGATGTACCCTGCATCTGTGGAATACCTGAATAGACAACGAATCATCCGAAATTGAGGAGGTGGACTTTGGGAGCAGCGATATATATATATATTTTTTTCCCCCCTTTTTCTCTTTGTGAGTGTGTATGTGTATGCTTCTGTGTGTGATTTTGTCTGTATAGCTTTGCTTTTATCATTTGTCCTAGCGTTCTGCCTGTCCATTTTTTTTTTTTTTCTTTTTAAAGAAATCTTTTTCTTGGGCTTCCCTGGTGGCACAGTGGTTGAGAGTCCGCCTGCCGATGCAGGGGACACGGGTTCGTGCCCCGGTCCGGGAAGATCCCACCTTCCGCGGAGCGGCTAGGCCCGTGAGCCATGGCCACTGGGCCTGCACGTCCGGAGCCTGTGCTCCGCAACGGGAGAGGCCACAGCAGTGAGAGGCCCGCGTACCGCAAAAAAAACACAAAAAACTCTAGATGGGATCAATAGCAGAATAACTGAGGCAGAAGAATGGATAAGTGACCTGGAAGATAAAATAGTGGAAATAACTACTGCAGAGCAGAATAAAGAAAAAAGAATGAAAAGAACTGAGGACAGTCTCAGAGACCTCTGAGACAACATTAAACACACCAACATTCGAATTATAGGGGTTCCAGAAGAAGAAGAGAAAAAGAAAGGGACTGAGAAAATATTTGAAGAGATTATAGTTGAAAACTTCCCTAATATGGGAAAGGAAAAAGTTAATCAAGTCCAGGAAGCACAGAGAGTCCATACAGGATAAATCCAAGGAGAAACACAACAAGACACATATTAATCAAACTGTCAAAAATTAAATACAAAGAAAACATATTAAAAGCAGCAAGGGAAAAACAACAAATAACACACAAGGGAATCCCCATAAGGTTAACAGCTGATCTTTCAGCAGAAACTCTGCAAGCCAGAAGGGATGGCAGGACATATTTAAGTGATGAAGGAGAAAAACCTACAACCAACATTACTTTACCCAGCAAGGATCTCATTCAGATTTGATGGAGAAATTAAAACCTTTACAGACAAGCAAAAGCTGAGAGAGTTCAGTACCACCAAACCAGCTTTACAACAAATGCTAAAGGAACTTCTCTAGGCAAGAAACACAAGAGAAGGAAAAGACCTACAATAAAAAATCCAAAACAATTAAGAAAATGGGAATAGGAACATACATATCGATAATTACCTTAAATGTAAATGGATTAAATGCTCCCACCAAAAGAAACAGACTGGCTGAATGGATACAAAAACAAAACCCATATATATGCTGTCTACAAGAGACCCACTTCAGACCTAGAGACACATACAGATTGACAGTAAGGGGATGGAAAAAGATATTCCATGCAAATGGAAACCAAAAGAAAGCTGGAGTAGCAATTCTCATATCAGACAAAATAGACTTTAAAATAAACACTATTAGAAGAGACAAAGAAGGACACTACATAATGATCAAGGGATCGATCCAAGAAGAAGATATAACAATTGTAA